TTGAAGCCTTTGACCTGTACCAACACTTTGGGTTGTAGTGACAGACCAGAGTGGTATCTAAATGTCTGGTATTTCATCAATTAATATTAATTTTTGTTCACAGACACTAAAGTGATTCCTGCAATATAACTGTTTGAGGTGACCATTAGTGATTGCAAATTTACCAAGTATTATATTACCGGTAATTTGGTAATTATATTCGGGATTACCGGTTTATCGGTAATTTACCAATAAATTCGTATTAACAAATGATTTAAAATGAAACTTAATTACTGACAAAATTATTAGACAACCATTTATTTTCAAGTTTTCTATCAGTTTAGACAAACAATTCTTGTAATAGTAATTATTATGACATAAGAAACATTGAAATAATGCTGATAATTAATTATGTTTCTCTTTATTTTGAAAGTAGGCTTTTAACAAACATAATACATGTTGGCTTGCGTCGTCTAATCTGTGTAGATCTAATTTTCATACAAATGGCAGCTGCATTAGAAAAAGCTGTCTCAGAATCAATACTAGTTGGACGTACTGCCATTAGAGCATTAAAAACCTTTTTAAGATACGTTCCTTGTATTTTTTGCTCTAAGAAATAATTCATTCCTTTTTAAACTATATCTTTCACACTTTTAAACTTACTTATATTACTATTATCAGTGTCTACGCTTGTTTTATGTTTAACGAAAAAGTCCAATTTCTCTTTCATTGTTAAATTTGACTTTTCTATTGTCACTTTGTTCTTGTGTCAACATGAGAAGTTGATGGTGTAGTAAGCAATGAACACCTCTCACCAGAATCTGAGTCTGAACTAATTTTAGTGACATCCGCAGGTCATAATTTGTTTTCATTTTCTGATAAGTACTTTATTGTTTCTACAATCCCATTAAAAATTATATTTTTGTTAACATTATTGGATATTTCATGTAACTTCTTATATTTGTTCAATTTTCTGGGTTATTTTCCTGTATATACTCCAAAATCAGAACACATTTTTGGAATACAAGTAATCAAGTTATAAAAAGACTAGAAAATTCCTTTTAATAACCTTAAATTACAAATGGAATGACCTATCATCACTTGCACTGTTTTCTCACTATGGTATGGGGGAGACAAAAATTCTGCTTCCCACAGATATTTCCTGTGGAAATTTTAGGAAAATAAATATTGAGTTAATTAAGAGGTTTTTTCTACATCTATACTAACTGCTTACATCCTACAAGTTTTACACATACTCGTAATATACCAGACCAAGCAGATGAAACCAGCAATGTCCTTAGTCTATATCTCAGATAAAAAGAAAACTAAATTTTGGAGACATCTGTATCTAAAAAAAAATAAATTGCAATTTCCAAAAGCTGGAACTTATAACTATGTTCAAAAAAGTCAACCTAAGTATTTTTCCAGCAGCGGATTAGATGATTTAAAGATGTTTTTGACTATGTTCACTACACAACAACTGTACCAGAAAAATGGAACTGTACATGTAAATAAGAAATTACACTTCAATGCAAAATTTCCAGCAAAGAAATTCAATATTCTAACTTTTGCAGCCACTATTTCATTAGCCCTCATCAGGAATAATAGAATGGAAAAACTGTTCTATAAATAGAATGCCGATGAAATAGTGGCCAAAAACGTTAGAATATTGAATTTCTTTGCTGAAAATTTTGCATTGAACTGTAATTTCTTATTTGCGTTCGCTACATTGCTTCGGATCCAATTGGAACTTCTTACTTTTAAAAATGAAATGCCTCAATGTTCTAAAATGTATTATAATCATTTTTAAATTACGCAATTGCCTTAGTATATTTAATGATGTATATTCTAAAATTATAAAATAAAAAGAAATATAGTCTTTTCAGCATTATCTGTCTTTTAATAACTAAAAATAGATGTTCAAAGACTTCAATAATTACAAAGATGTCTTCCTTGGATGTATTACAGAATGTTAATACGATTTTTAAAATATATCATTGATTTGTTCCATCTGAAACAAATTACAAAATTTGAAGAGTTCAAAATCAACACAAGACCAAAATAGCACACATATAGAAATATATAAACAGTGATTTTATGTAAATATTATTACTGATTATTCTTTTATAGCTTTATTAAACAGCATGACTCGTATCCTTGGAAGTTCTAACACTGGTTTATTACACCCATGTTACACACACACAAAAATTGTGAAAAATGAACTTTTATGCATATCTAGGTTCACTGCAAGCCTGTAAAACCACAGATCCTGGGATAACAGTGAGCTTAGAAGTTAAACTAATCAAAAAAGTCTTCATGATAAGCCCTGCAAATTGTTATACCCTATTTATTAGGTTATCTAATTCTGTCTTTGATGAAAAACACATCTTGGAGATTTGCAAAGCATCCAAAGATGGAAATTTTATCAATGCACAAGAATCTGGAATGTTGTCAGTTGCACGGCAAATATTTTATGACAATAAGTAGAAAGAATAAAGCCAAAGTCTAATAGCTATATAATTTTATTCACTTGCTAAAAAATTAGTCTCAATCAATAGTGATTGTTAATTTCAGAACTAAAATAAATTATTTTGTTATACTAAAATGTTCATGAAATAAAAATAAATATAAATGTTCTTCTACATATTCTAAATACTCTCTTGCACTCATCACATTTGGGGCTTGTGAAGTTTTTGAGCAGTTTTAACATTAGTTATGAACAACCAAGCTAAGATGCTTTGTTTCTATCAATTTAGAACAAAAAAGCATTTACTTTTAACACTTGATGGCAGTACCATCGCCGTAAAAACTTCAATAGTGGAGCCAGACTCCCACCACAATCCAAGTGCAAGTAAGTCATGTGATAAAAATAATTGAGCTACAGATTTTTACACTCATTTTTATGCTGTGGAGTCTTGGCCTTAATCCACTTTTCTAAAAAAAAAAACACAGAAATGATATGAATTAAAATTTTTTTGATAAGTGATAAAATTTTTATTTTTCATTTTAATTTTATTCATATATTTTTACAGTTTTCTGGAAGGAAAAGTACATTTGTGATTAGCCCTCCCACAATGAGATATGCCTCCCTAATGGGGTACAAAACCCTTTCTAAGAGATGCAAAGAAATTATCAATATTTTTGATGCTATTTTTATTGGAACTAACAGACAGAGAATATTAAGTATGTGTAGGAGTTGTATTCCCATATGCTCTCAATATTCTATGCACTAGTTTCCAGTGGCGTGCCATGACATTTGATGATAGGGAAGCTGTGTTTCTGTACAAAGCTGATTTCCAGGGACAATCAGTTAATTGTGCGTCAGTGATGGTCTAGGCCCTCTAGGGTCCATTTGTATTCGTTTGTTTGATAAGCTAGTAAAAACTGTACTTCTCTAAATGTATTTTTAATAGGTTATCTGACATACTTAATAAATAAACAAGTTCAATATAATTACCTCTGTTATTAGATTCAATAGATTCCCTATGCCCTCTAAATGCCAATTCTTGCTTTGATAAAAAAACATATAACATCTATTAATTTAGATATAATATATCTATTAGCTGTAACTATCTTGTTATAATTTTCAATATTTATTTTATATTATTTACAAATGTTAATAGATTGTCCGTTTTCAGACCAGGTGGTATCCACGGAAATTTCCAAAATTTACAACTTTATCAGTCACTCTCAATGAACTGGAAAAATTTCTGTCTTTATTACATCTAATATTACGAAGAAATCAGTCTCCACTGTACTTGGCTAGGGATTGGTTCAGTTAAGCTTTTAAATAAAATTCCAGCTCTTTCAGCAGGGTTTTATTTATGTCCCAAATTCCCTAATCTCTTAATTATTTAACTACTTCTTAAGTACAGATAAGTCGAAACCAGTTACTTTGAACTTGAATATTTGTAGTCTTGGGAAAGAAGTGGAAAGACATATTTTTATGACAACAGATACATAAATTGTAAATTTAAGGAATATAAATTCTAGAGCTTTTTTTTGTACCTTGTGCATCTCATTCATTAAATTTAGTTGTAAATGATGCTCATTTTTTAATATTGTACAAGAATGCATCTCCTTATAGATGGGACATACTAAATCGTAATATCACTAGTTTAACATTGAAATCTGAAAGTAAAACAAGATGAGAGAGCAGAATAAATATATCAAATATTTTATTGAATTTTTTTTAAAACTCCTGTCAACTATACAGAATTATCATAAAAACATACCAGTAAACTCCTATCGGTTAGGTTAAGTTATAAATCTACTCGCGATTCACATAATGGGGCGAGGGCGGCCAAATATCTAGCAGGCAGGTGGCTAACAGCCCAGAACTGGTCCTGGATAGAATCATTGGAAGCGTTTTTGGTGTACAGCTTCCACTAGCTAAACCACCTGAGGTTGGTGCTCTGTAAAGCACATGAGCGAATGCCTATAATCTGGCTGCTTTACACAGTTCAAATATTTTTGTCCTGAAAGCTGTCCCATATTTGACAATACAGAGCTTCCATTGGGAATATGCAGATATGAATTTATATTTGAATATACAATAGTAATTTTATCATTTTTCTCACATGTAGTATAGAAATTTGTAATAAGATAAATAATGCGGTTACAATAAAATATTAATTTTAATTAACCCAAAATATATTAAAATATGAAAATAATTGCACAATATGTATTTATTTTTTAGAAAATACAAGGGAAGCAGTGCTTCCACTGCTTCCAATGATGGCATGCCACTTCTAGTTTCAATACAATATAGCATCAAAACCACTCGATTAGCATTACCACAATGATAACTTGCAATGATTATAATATAGTAATTACATCATCAAAATTTAATTTTATTTAGTGTTATCTCTGTGTGCTATTTTACTTTATTTTTTCCAAAATTATCCAAAATACATCCTAAAAACTACAGTCAGTAAGCTTTCAAAAAAGTGTAGGAGAGATGAGCGTGCTTTTTACAAAAAAAGAGATATCTCTTTAAAACGTTTGTGTATCCAACTTACTGAGATCTTACATTTGCAATAACCTAACAAAAGTATTATATCTATTTTCAGCATTAGATTAAAATATACTGTCACCTCTAAATGCAAATCTATTTAAATTTATTACATATTATAATGAATAGTAATACAGGCTTCCAGAAATACAAAACTTCAAGAAAACTGGCTATTTTTGTATTTGACAGACCATATGACAAACTATAGTAATAGTGTGGCTGTAGTTTGCAATAAGTCTGCTTTGTTTTGATTTCCATGGCCTTTGCATCACACAACACCAGTGCTGTTGTGTGCAGGTGATCCACTCATAATTAAGTGTTTAATTGTCAGAGATTTATTTGTCTATAAATTCTGACAAATAAATACTTAATTGTGAAAACCAGAAGCCAAAGCTTAAAGGCCAGAGCTTAAAGACAAATTCTATATTTTAAATTATAAATGGATTAATAAAGATGTTAGATAGAATTATATTCTTTACTTTTCTTTGTTTAATTTTCATTCTAAATATTACACTATACATGATATTCTAAATATATTTTAAGAGGATTAATAATAACCAAATAGACCTCCTTTAGAAGTATATTAATTTGTATATTAAATAGAATTTCACTCTTCCATTGTTGTATTATATTTTAAGTGCATATTTGAATGTGTCCAGAAAACCAGAGAATCCAGAATACTTCCAATCCCAAGCACACACGATATTTAATCTGGTATTGTGTAATACATTATAATAACAATAAGTACTTTTTCATTTTAAACTAATTAAGGTTTGTTGGACGATTTATTAAACATTTTTTGTTATCAGACATAAAGGTTCTTCAAGTGTTATTTAGAGATCACTTTTCATATCCCTTTTCTTATAAATTACTAAAAACCTACAAGTTTCAAATATAACTCAATTCATTAAATTTTTTCTAGAAAAAAATATAGAAATTTGTTTATAAATTAGTCCAAAATTTCAATTTATATAATATCATATCTCCTCAATTCTAAGATGCGCTAAAAATATTTTTACCTATTTTTACTCGTTCAAAAATAAGTCTGCATCTCATAATCAAAGGATCTAATTTTCACAGTCCGAAACAACTATTAGCACTCATTACAAGTAGTAATCAAAAGCATCTGTTATTGGTGTATAATGCAACATGTGCATTATACACCAATAACAGATAAATGTTGATTTGACTTAAATACAAAAAAGTGGATAAGCTTAATTCACTCTCAGATATAAGCTTAAGACAGTTTTTGATGTCATAAAGCTTTCAACATCATGTCAGATAAAACATTTATTTATTTATTTATTTTAAATTGATTATTTATATTTTATATTATTTAAAGTAAATTAATTTATAATGATTTTCTGAAAATAATCAAAAATTTAATTTTATTTAAAAAGTAATGAGTGTGACTGCTTGAAGGCTATGAGAAATATGTCACTTTAAGTGTGAACATATTCTCTACATTCTAGAATCCTCATATGTATATTCCTAAGAGTCATTATATATTCTACTCATTCAGATCTGAAGAAAAACTAAATTTATTCAGAAAATAAGTATCAAGTTGTGGTATTTAGCAGATAATCTGTTTCAGAATGTACATGTTAAAGCCAAGAAACACTCAGAAAAAAAAACAAAGAAAGAATATAAAAATAACTGATCTGCTAGCTACTAAACTTTTGAGCCCATATTTTGGGTAAATGAAGTGACTCCTAACAGTACAACTTCAAGTACAATCAAAATGAGAAATAACTATTTTATATGAATTGTAACTGAACTCCCAACTAAAGTGAAAATGGCCAAAGATGTCTTTATTATGTGGAAAGCACATGTAGAACTTTTAAAGAGCATAAAAGAACATATCTTAATATAAAATAAGAAAAGATAAATACAGAGCATTAGCAGAGGAGGTTTAAAACAAGACAGCTAAAGTAATGTGAGAGGAGTCAGCTTATGATTACCAATACAAAAATATCCTCATGTACAAATCAAATAATTATTTCCATGAGTAACAAACAATCGTTAACAAAAAGAGGGAAAAGTTAGACTTAGCACATTTGTTGTGGTTGTTAATCAATAATTAAATAATTTTTTTAAGTTTTAAGTGTTGTTTTTCTTTAATTGTTTATTATTAATTCATTTTGTTTATATCTTGTTTGTTATGTATTATTAATTAATTTTTATCATTAAAATTTTTATTTAAAAGTTCGTATTTTATTCAAACTTGTATAGACATCCCCCATATAACAGTAGTTAGGTTCCGAAGAAGTGACAAATTATGCCAATCCATACTATACAAAACAAAGGACTAGAACTAAACATACGGTTAAGTTCCAAAAGTTTACTATTTTTTTGTAATTAAGAGAAATACATTCTATTTTTAATATATTTAATTTGGATCTGATGAGACATTAATGTTCAATTTCAATAAATATTTGAACTCCTTAAAGTTTTTCTATTCTGCTTATTGCTTCATATTGTACCTGAAATTTGTAATTCTGAAAACTTCAGTTCAGCATATTATTTTCTTTTCTTTTGTATTCATCTCTTATAAATAATGTATATTAATAAAGTCTAAGAACATTTTATAAATTATAATATGATAAAATAAGAACTAAAACAAAGTTTATAGTTAAGAAAATAATAATAATAAAATATTAATTGTATATGTAATTAAAACAATTTAATATTAATCATTGATAAACTATGACAAAAATAAAATAATGATTCAATATTTCTACAGATTGAACACATTATATTAGCAATTAATAGCATCTTAATGAATAAACAGAATTTTCTTAATAAAGATTTATATTAACAATATGATGATAATAGGGAGTCATTCTCTAAATGTAAAGTAAAGTTCATTAATCTGGCATCTATGGGATTAGTGTGATGTCAAATTATCAGAAACACTAAATTAACAGAAGTTTTTGTATTTTTGGAAAATTCAATAAATTACACACAATCTGAACATTACTGTACATTTTATACAAGTACAAGTTACTGTATGCTTGCAATAAACACACACTTTAATCAGTCTGGTAATACACAGCATAATGACTACACTGTGTAAAGAATGATTGAAAAAGTTGCAAAGTGTTAATAAGCATGTTATTGCACAAAATCAACATTCACAATAATTCATGTGCATATACTATAATATTTATTTTCCTGACATATGATATATGCATATGATTCACAAAAGCAACATACACACAGAGTACAATAAACATATTTTTAGATATGCTGTTCTTGCACAGAGTGGATATGATATTACATCGGCAGTGCACATTACTAAGCACAAAACACACGTGCCAGCATTCTGCAAAGTAATGTTCAATCAGCACAATACAATGTCAACTACAAGATCTTTAGCATACTACGTATTCAAACATATTTCAATTCATGGAACAGTAGCATGCTGGATTATTATCTGATAATTCTGGATTATCAGCTACTTTTCAGAGAAGTGCCAGATTACTAAACATTCTGGATTATCGAATACTGAATTAACAAACTTCTACTGTATTAAAGATGTTAAAACATTTTAATGTTTATTTATATAAAAATAATTAATAAAAAATATTCTTACTTCAATATATTTCACAACTGCCGAATTATAATCAACGGTCTTTCTTGCTACGGCTTTTCTTAGACGTTTACCATCAAATTCGATTGCCTGAATTTGTTGGGAGTGTTGTCGATACTGGTGACTGTTATAATAAGCAACTGGTTTCTGAAAATTTGTTTGAAACCTTGGCATGTGAAAAAATCTCTGAGGAGATGACTGAGTTGCACTGCCTTGCATCTTCTTTTTCTTTTTCAATTACAATATTTTATTCTATCAGATAAAACTGAAACTACCTGTAAAATTAATTATAAATTTTTAGATATATAAAAGTCAATATTCCGTAAATCATAAGAATTTTTATTATATAGTAATACCCTGAACTTACGCGATAGGTGGGACTGAGCGATGACCGTGTAAATCGAATTCACATAAGTCGGGGTATAATTTCGCAATTTGTGTAAAATCCAAGTCAGATGTAGGTAAGCTAATAAATGCTCTCGTTAATCTTATCGCATCTTTTGATTTGTTCACGGTTACAAGAAATCACCACATATAGTCTCTCAAGTCTCCGTGGATATAACAAACACAGAAATAAATAACACAAAATAAATTGTAGCTATGTGGCAATTCCTCGCAACACATCCAAACATGTAAGTCAAACAACAGTGTGGGGGGGAGTCAGTAATTGAGAGTTGCGTGGCGCTCAAACAAAAGACGAATTGACGAGATTTGAAAATCGCGTAACTCCGCGTTCGTGTAAGTCGGGGTAGCGTAAGTCAAGGTATTACTTATAAAGCATTCAAAAAGATTTATTAAACTAATAAATTAATTATTATTCATCAAAAAGAATAAATAAAACATACAAATTTAGTTCTAACTGTAACCAAATTTGCATATATTACATTTTAACCTTGATTTTTAAATAAAAATATTTATTTACCATATTTTCATGCATATAATATGCAAGTTATCTGTGTTTAAAAGACAATTTGAACTGTGCTGCACATTATAATTAATAATTATATAGTTAATTATAAATATGTGTCTAAGAACAACAGTTGCTTCCAAAGATTTTATATATACAATGGGGTTAGTTGCAGAAAGACATTCTTTTCATTCTAGTAATTTTCTTCAAGGTGTGATATCACACAGTATACTCACAAATATATGGTAATATATTTGTGAGTATACTGTGTGATATCACAGTATACTCACAAATATATTACCTAAGATTAAAAAAATAATACCTAAGATTAAAAAAATGTACGTTATAATAAATATTTTTTTCAAGTAATATATTAAAAAAATCATATTTAACATTACAGAATTGTTGTCTTGCTACTTGTTAGCTCATTAATGATTATGAAAATTAAAGAATGTAAAAATTAAAGAATGTAAAAAGGACATAGCCAATAACAAAATTACAACTGTTTTAGATGAGAAAACCTTATAAGAAATGTAGAAATTAAATGGAATTGAGTGGAAACACCATTAATCTTGTTTGGAAATCATGTTCTTTTGTAGTTCTAACTGAAAATCAAAACTACAAAAGAACTACAGTCAATTCCGCTTAATATGGTCACGTTATGACTAATCCATTTTAGCCCCATTAAGCAGATGCCCCAATTAAACGAACTGATAATAAATTCTAAAATAAAATATATAATATGTAGGTAAATAAATAAGTAGGTAAAAAAATAATAACTAGGTGCCTATTTTAATGCTTTATTAAACCAAAATACAGAAAATATTTGTACTATAAATTGGCAGACTCACGACAATAGATAACTGATTCACATCAAGCTAGTGTTGCCAAATACAATATTAGTAGTGATGTACTATACACAAGGGTTGGCCACATGCAGTTTTCCAGGGTTTCTTCACATTTGTAACATCTAAATAGGGGCCAGCTTTACATAAAAGTCTTCCTGGGATGCATCTCCTCAGCAGAACTCTCACATGTCGTGTTGTTATAACCAAATAAACCAAACTAATTCTAACAAGCTATTCTTTATTGTGATATTGTCACAATGTTCTCAATTCTTTTAGTGATGTCTTGCCCTGCATATCATACTTTTCCTGTTAGCAATAGAGTCATGCCAGTCATCTATCTAACTCCATTCAAGGAAAATTTTGAATTGAAGTAACATGACTTCCAGTACAAACCACAAGTTCATATATAGTTGATCTGGACCTCCTGCCCGAATATTTCCATATCTGGTTTTGATTTTTATCTATTTAACTCCATCCTCGAGATTAAAGAAGAACAGACAGAGAGAAAACTGTGACAATTTATATACCTATAATTTTTTCAAATTGCCACACAATAATTTTTCTATAAATGCAATATTTATGAGAACATACTTTCCATGTACTTTATACAATCTGTTGAAAAAGTATAAACACTTTATCATCATATAAAAGCAATTATTCTCGCATTTTTAAAAGATTTTTTTATTTAAACAAGTTTTATATAAATTCTTTCAGAGTTTAAGGTTAGCAACTTCAATCCCATGTGGGGCCTTCACAACCTATCCAACAGTGAACACTTCAAATTTTAATATAGACCAGTATTAATTAGTAGTTGTTGATTGCCCTCGCTTCCGGAAGGAGGTCAACGACTACTTTTGGTCGAATTACTTCAACCCGCATCTGCAACAGTCCCTTCTTTCTATCAAACCATCAGTACTGTGGCATTCGAATAGGAAAATTACATAATACAAGGGACTGGTGAGTGCAAAATATGATTTAAGTGGTTTTCCAAGATGCTGAGTTTAAATATTTGGTCTGTTTTTTGTGAAATTTAATTAGTTGACAGATTACCATTTCATATACAGCTGTGAATGGTAGTTTCTTAGAGTTAACATTAGGAAAAAATATGTATCTTAAAGGTTTAAGGTATCATATTTTCGATTGGTGCCTACTTGACGCATAAATTTTTGTATAATTTTTAAAACAAAATGATGTTTTGAAAACAGTAGCAGTTTATTTTAAATTAATAATTAATTTTTAAACACAAAATTAAAATAGAGTAAAAAGAAAGCAGGACAATGTAAATATTTCATCTATTTTTACTTCAGTTATTTGAATATCATTAGCATAATTATTATATAGTCACACAAATCTAAATCGCCATAGAAAATTGTACTTGAACCATGATGTGTGTGCTTTAGATTTAAAATTAAGTCAATTATAATCACAAACATCATGAAATCCAATAAATTTTTAAAGCCAAACAACCACCGGATTACATCAGGCTACTTTTCTGAAATTACATTGAATTCCTAAATAATTTTGCTTTACATTATCATAACTATGCTACTTTATAAAAGTCATATATAAATTGATGAACACTTCAGGTTTGCTTGTTAATGGATATTTAAATTCTATTAAATTTTTGTGATAACCAAACCAGTTATTTAAATTTTATGGCTGAGTTTAGTATACTTTTCCAAATAATTTTTCATATAATGCACTATTAATTGGCTATATTTTTTCCCTGTAGTCTACTATATAATCCACAAATGACAGATTTGAATATCTTTTTGCATTTATATCAGGGCTGTGGAGTCATGTAAAATCTACTAACTCCAACTCCGACTTTTCCTTACCATCTGACTCCAACCAGGAGCGGACTTGTTACCAAAAGAGACCCGGAAATTCTGATGTCATCATGTGACCTCAGAATAAAAGATTCAATAAATAGAGTTCTAATAAAGATAGAATGTAGAAACTTTTTATTCCAAAGCTAAAAGACTCCTCTAAGTAATGATACAGTCAATATATAAACATGTATTCGATAATTTTTACTTTTCCGGCTGTTATATATAACAGAGGGAGAGTGTAGCACTTGGTCAAAAAATGACCCCTCCCAAATTTTCACATTTTTGGATTCAAGACATCTTGAAATTTCAAGATATGCAAAAGATTTGAGGTTTTTTTTTCTATATGTGTGGAAGTTAGACTGTGGGGGGGGCATGATTTCATTCACCCTGTTTGAAGCCTAATGATTTCTGTGGTCAGAGTGGTCAGAATCGGAGTCAGATGGTTTAACACAGTAGTTAGTTATTAAGCATCAAAGTGGTTGAACTAAATCATGTCCCCATACACATTCTAACATCTTAGGTGAAAACATCTTCAAAACTGCGATATTTGACAAACCTTTTTTCGAATATCCCAGTTTTGAAGAAGTTTGTTCTACTGGTCTTCGTTCGAACGAATTTTAAAGAAGAATAGTTGCTTGAGAAAGGACCCAGGGAGGGTTCCAAAAACGTTTGCATGTAATTTTACTCTTGTTTAATACTAGTTAAAGGGTTTGATGAGGGATTATTTTTGTATTTTAATCTGGTATTTGAAGATGCTTTATTTACTAAACATACAATTTTGCATTACAAAATTATATGTTTAATAATTATCACCAAATTATGTAACTTACATACTTTGAAACTAAAACTTTTATGTAGCTCTCATTACTAATTTTTATTGTTTTAGGTTCTTCAGTTTAGCACCATACTCAATTTAATGCCAATTTCAGAGGCAAACAAATGATGTTAAATCAACATTTGACTGTATATAATTCTTAACAACTGGTAGTGAATCTATAGCTCTCAAGTTTTAATCAGAGATTTTGTTGTACAGTACAATGGGATCTTCTGCAAGGTTTAAAGCAACTTCATTGAAAATCTAAATATTGAATTAGCTCTTCCTGATCATTTATTATAGTAAGATTACACACACATTTATTGAAACGAGTTTTTCTTAAGATGATATACTAGCCTGTAGTGATAGCTGTAGTGAAATTTTAGAATGTTAACATTTTCAGACATAAGCAGAGTGCTAATGTCAAAAGGAAGGACAAAGAGCTAGATGAAAATAAAGTAAAAAAGTAGGAGAGTTGAGTTGACAGTGGCAGTTGATGTAACAGAGTGAAAATATATTGCCAAAAAGGAAGGAAAAAAGCCATTGTCTCTATTGTTTATGCATGTGCTGGTTATAAACATTTCTTAAAAAATTTTCTGTGATCTCAGTAGAATAATTTAATAATTCTATCCTTGGACTTCTACTTTGGTTTCAATATTAGGTAGCCAATACATTATTAGATCTGTTATTATTACTGTAATTCATTCGCCTCATAAATTTGTCTTTTCTTAAGGACTTACATATAATCCCCATTTATCTACTATTTATGCTGTTTTAAAATAATTCTAGTTGAATAGTATATCTGTCAAATATGTAGTAATAGTTGTTAATAAAGAATATTTTCATACTTAATTTAAACTATATTTTACTGCTT